TAGAACAAGCACACAACAGTAGAGTATGGGAAAGGGCCCTTTGTTTTGCTGTGTAGGGCACAATCCTTTAAAATCCCCAGATTTAAGACTCAGAGAAATAGATAAAGACATTTCTTCTGCTAGTTCAGAGAGAAAGTCGGGAGCCCCCCAGACCAGAAGGCTGGTGGCCAGACATGCCAGTTCTGCCTGGGTTGGCAAGAGCCCAGGGAGAGCTGCCTGCCACCCTCTGTGATGCCAGATGCAAGGACCAAAAGCGGCACCGGGGGCTTCCGTGCCCCGGCTACCAGCACAACTAAGCCATACGCTGTCCCAGGCATACAAGCCACAGGCACTTGCAGCAGGCTCCCCTCCAAAAATCAGTTTGGTCACTACCTACTTGGGTGTAGGTTTATCCAGTTTGCCTTTTTACTTATCAAGGTAACAAACCGTTTTTACTTACACTTCATACAGCATATCACAACTTAAACACGAGGGCTGGAGAAAGGAGACTTTAAAAATTATGTTTCAGAGAAAACCTTAAAATAATCATGTGTCTCCTTGCTGCTGGAGGTGAAGGCCTGTAACTATGAATGTTCTGCAAAAGTAAAACTTTCTTCTTAAAGAAATTCACGTTACACATAGACCATTCTCTTTAAACCCTACCTGTATGATAAACCCAGTATTATCACGGGAATTAAAAGAGCCCAGCATCTTTTTAACTCTCTACTTGTTTGTAACAGCAGCATGTTTTATCTTCCTGCTGCTGGCAAAAGCTCTGAGAAATAACAGGGTATTCCCTGGGGGCTCAGCCAAGCTGGGTGGCCTCAGGCAGGCAGACAGGAGCTCGAGGAGAAACGCAGCCAGGAACCTGCTCCCACCCGATCTGGGAGCTTCACGTCTGAGCACATCAAGGGGAACCCCAGGCTTTAGGCACTCGCTAAGGCTTAGAGAGGCTGGCCCTGGGCTGGGCCCCCCGCCTGTCCTCTGATGAAGCTGGAGAACCATCACTTCACCGATGCCTTGAGGACGGGCACTAAGATACCACGTGGGTCTCCCTCCTTTCCATTTCATGCCATCTTTTCACTTCTAAGCCCAGGCCAGACCTCCCAGTCTTGGCAAAGCCACTTCCAGTGCATTCAAACCACGTGTGTCCGGCACAGCTGGCCGGGAAGCACGCATGTCACGGCATCCCAGAGCCGAGGTGGTGCAGTCCTTTCTTCACTGACAGTTTCTAGAAGGAGAGCAGAGCCTACCCATCTTCCAGAGAAGTATTACAGGTACTACCGCAGGCATGAACTGCGGAACTCCTCTGAAAAAAAGAAAGATGTTAGGAGAGAGCTGGAGGGAAAACAAAAAAAACCCCAAAACACACCAACTGAACAGCCTTATTAAAGCTTTTCTCCTTCCTCTGCTTAGCAAGGAGAATGCTTAATTAAGTCATCCTTCAAGCCTTCCCTCTCACTCCAGCAACGCTCAGCATAAAGCAGGTATTTAACAATTTCCTTCGCAGCACAGGACATCTCGGTGGTACAATAATTTACATATTCTAAAGAAGAAGTGAAACTGCTGGTTCTCTGTTGTTCAGCTTTTCGCAGTGGGTAGGGACAGCAACAGCAGGAGGCACATTTTAGATCTACTTGGTAATAAGGGAGAGCAGGAGGGGAAGGAGCAAGTTGCTGTTTACTCAAAGTCTGGAGCCTTCCCAAGGCAGGAGTTTTGACTGTGTTATGCACGTTCTTCTCCGTTTATTTGCAAGTCTCTTTTAGCTTATTAGGTCAGTTTAACTGGCAACCGCTGCTGATTTTAAGCCCAATTATAGTCACTTCTACCTGGTGACACAGCCCCAGTTCTGCAGCCAATTCTCACCAATTAATGGCTTCAGAGTTGCTAGACCCTGCTATTCGTAGCAATCGTGAGTTTGACCTCAGAGTCATAGTTTCCTGTCATAATTTCAGCATTGTTTGTTTTCGCTGGAACACTTCCCTGTGTGCTCTCAACTACTGAGATTGCTTCTCCTGTGCATTGCGCTGAGATACACCGTAGAGGCAAGTTTTCAACTTTGGCCCACCTTTAACAATAATAATACTTAAAAAAAGCTCAGAGATTCGTCTTTCTGGGATGAAACTATCACCAAGGACCCTCTACTAAAATCCAGACATTTCTAGGGAATTCGTCCCCACTCCTCGTGATTAAGTTCTCTTGATCATGAAGGACCACAGCAACACAATGATAAGAAATTCTGCTCCCCCACTGCCCCCCAGCCCATTCATCCTGCAGTTTAGGGGACACCAAGGAGGACTTTCTGCTATGCACGTCCCAGCTAACCTGGCTTGACACATGCTGCACACCCAAGGCGTATGGAGGCAGACAAATAACCCAAACAGGGGTAAGCACGAGACCCAAGCCACTGCGTGTGCAAGGATTGAAGAAAGATTTAAGAAAGCGTTCATGCTTCTATTTCTCCCTCTGAGTATTTTTTAATTCCTCCAGGGAGCATCACAAGTGGCCTCGCATTTCACCAAAGAAAATATTTCTTCTGACCCGAAACTCCGTTAAAAAGAAAGCAAGCATGTTCTGCGCAAGATGTAGTCTGTGGCAATTAGAGGGGAGCGAGAGGGACACACAAATACCAGGCAGAATGAAGATACTCGTGTCCCTGAGTTCGACTGCCGGTACGCAAAGCCCTGGATTGTTCAGTACAGAGAAATGAACCCTCTGTCCCTGTAACAGAGCAACCACTGTAGAACTCACCAAAAGGTACAGCAAACCCACCTGGGAAGGGGCTCTGAAGCAGGGGGATGGACGTAGCAGTGTGCCAGGAGGGAGAAAATGCTACAACTACAGCTCCGAGCCATTTAGCTCACAAGCAGGGCAACGGGTCAGGTTGCTTAAGGAGCACCTGCCAGCTGGTATACAGGAAAGTCTTCCATAACTGTTGTGATTCTACTGGATCATAAAACATGAGCGCACCGGCAGCACGCTCAGGCCATCTACTCGCTAAATGCCTACGACAGAAAGGATGAAGCAGGTCTGCCAGACCGACCAAATACAGCTTGTGCCCTAAACTGAACTTGTACAAAGTTGTCAGAAAACACCAAAGAATGTTCTGCCTCATCTGACTAATTAGTAGTGCCTTTGGAGAGCAGGGGCTCTAGCTGGAACTGCTTTGCTCCTCTCTGAATACACAATGAACTTTTTAAGAAAGATGCAGCAGCAAAGCAACCTCCGGTTAGCATAAGGCCCTGCAAGACCCTGCTCCAGCAGAGTATCTTTCTTGCAATCAATTAACAGTAGATTCTTGTGTAGGTCTCAGTGACTTATGTTTGTACGGAACACTTAAGTTTGATTTTTATTTTAGTTATAGTATTTAAAAAAAAACAACAAAGGAGGTTAGAAATCTTTTTGACTGACAGCTGTCCATCAGCTGTGCAAGGCAGGAGAACTCCAGCCTCCAGCAGAGGTTTCTCTTTTTCCCCTTTGTACTTCTCAGTCACCACTAACCGAAGACACTGTTTTACTTACAACAATCACGATGTGCCGTTACACTAACTGTCTGGAAATCAGCATCTTTGTCAGCCTCTTTTTGGGAAAGAGGAGTCCTCCAGCAGTGGAGGACCTGCCTGGTGACCCAGCAGATCACCACACTCGTTGAGAGTTCCCACCACAAAGCAGCGCCAGCTGACGCGCAGATCAACACAAGAAGCTTCCCAGGTCAGGCACCACTTCGTGCTACCCTCAGACACGAGACCCAAGTCCTACATGCTTCCAAACTGCAAGTTTCTGAAACTCAGCAAGTGGAGAATCAGAGCCTCCTTGCCAAGTCCAGAGCCACAGACTTCCTGCACAGACTGGCAAGACCGCTCATCAGTTTAAATCCCCTTTCACAGCCACTTGCCCGGGGGTAGGTACCTGCTAACAGATGTGATTGGTCTCGTCCTGAACCCAGGGCAGAAGGATTTGTGCTCCGAGGCAGTTCAACATGCCCAGCCCAGAACGGGGCACGGGGCGGTGGGAAGGGCAAAGGCTGCAGCAGGGAGGCGCGTCCAGCCAAGAGGGTTCTGTTGCGTTAGGAAGCAGCCGTTCAATCAAACCTCTTCCTCAAATACAACCTTAGCTTCCTCACAAGCACAGACAAAAGAGCCAACCTTAAAATATCAGACCTGCACCCTGCACTCGCACTGCTGCTGATGGAAAGGCTGCCAATACTCATTTTCTGCAATTAGAAGAGGTACTGCCTGTATTGCATGAGAGAGAAGAGCAGCAAACTGACGGCCCTGAGCTGGTGATGCTTTCTGACAGAAGGCTGCTGTCATTTTCTGCAACTCTTGCCCTAGGGTTTACCCTGAGGCAAGAGACCAGTGAAGATTTCCACTCCCCCTTACACACCCTCAAGGTTTTCACAAAAAAAAAGAAGAATGATCAAAGAGCCTTTGTGCATTTATAAACCCGTCAATTTTGCTAGAAGATTTAAGGCTTTAAAAAGTCCAAAACATCTATTTGAAATTTTCTATACAAACAGGTTTTTTTAATATTTTAAAAAACCCAGAAATAAAATATTTAGATTTTTCTGAAGTAAGGCATTCCAGCAGCTCCAGACAGAAGCGCTGGAGGGGAGGAGGAAATCCAATTCTTAAGTTTGACAGGAACAATTTTTTTTGTTTCTTTTAATTGGCAGAGAAACAAGACTACACAGCTATTTCTCCCCCTGGCTCTGACAAGAATAGCTGGGATGAGCAGCACAGGAAACAACAAACCCAAACTTAATCAAGTGCTGCCAGTTTCAGGTTCCTGTTCCATGCCAGCTCACCTCGCAGGAAAGATTCCCCAAGCCAATGATGCAGCAGCGTTTCATCCCACCATCCTGCCTTTTCCCCTCAACACGCTCCCATTACCTTACATTTTGCCTCCAACATCCTCCCATGCAGAAGAGAAGCAGGTTCCCCACTTGTAAACAGTTCAGACATGACACAGGTTTTGGGAGACCTCAGCCTTTTTCACAACTTGATTACCTTTATTTCTGGTCAGTCAGAAGCCTTGAGAGAGGCAAACATTCGGGAGCACATTTCTTTCTCCTTTTTGATGTAGTCCTTGTAGCAGCTGCAAAGTAGAGCACAGGATGGTGTCATGGATGTGGACTGCCTGCTCAGCCATCAATGCCACAACCAGAAAACAGGTTTGGTTTTTTTTTAATGTGTAAATACAATAGCCTAATGTAACAGTGTGCTGGTAACAGAGGCAGCTCCTCCAAGCCTTTCTTTCTGCCACGTCAGGGAAGGAGAGCTGCAAACACTGTGCCTTAGCCCCAGACCTTGGGTCTCTGCTCTGCTGGTGACTATTTGCCAAGTAGATCATTTGACTTTTGGTAGCCAGATGCTTTCTACACCAGTTTTGCAAGCACATGACGATGCAGAGGAACCCCCACCCAAATCTTGTGGTCTAGTTTGGCATCTCCTCATTTGTACCACTCCTTGTGCTCCTTCAGTGCCTACCAGAAGATGTTGTACAAGTGCCCTAACTCGAGGATGTCTACCACTGACACCGAATTTGGGCAGAGGATGGGTAGGAGACAGCAGGGATTTGTGTCCAAAGGAAGCGGATGACGGGCCAGATGCTTCCTTCTCTATTCACAGTGTCACATTAGCACAGCACAAGCTTCCTGGACCGCTCCATTTCCATCGCTGCGTCTCCAAGCACAGTATCCTCTGCCCCCTGTGTTCTCACCTCGCTGGCAACGAGGTCTCACTGGTGAGGAATCACCAAGCCAGAGGGTGACTCAGTTTGGGCACTGTCCCAGGGATCGATGGCTGCCACACTGCCAGCTTTCCTGCATCTGCTACCATATAAGGTCAGAAGCAAAGGGGTTTGTTGCAACACACCAGAAACAGCCCAAGTGTGACATTGGCTAATGCTCCCTCAGCTCCTACCATCAATATCCCCAGGGTCCAGAACCTCCAGGTGTTCCGTTCAGTGAAATCCCAGCGCAGCGAGTCCCTTCTGTTAAGTCTCAGACAGATGTTGCCACAACTGTCCACACTGGGTAGATCAGAGATGCCCACCTAAAGTGTGGATGGGGTGCTCCCATGCCTACCACAGCAGGAAATCCAAGAGCCCCTCGTTTGGGGGCACGGATTCACGCCGGATGTTGGAACAACCCCATCTTGTTCTGGATTTGATGCGATGCAAGCCTTCGAATAAAATGCCAAATGCAGCAGCAGAATCTGCACCAACCAGACCATGCAGCTGGTACCAGACATTCGTTCCACAAAATCCTCACCCTGGATTCTGCCTTGTTTTCCTCCAAAATGAATTTTGCCAAGAACCTGGTTCAGCTGTTAAACAGATGCTTTTCAAAGTTTTGTTTTAAACAGCAAGAGGTAGCTACTGATTAACACACAACATTCCTTTTTGTAAAGTATAAATGTACTCAGTAAGGAAGTGAAAAGCCTCTAAGGACAAGATTTTGATTCATATTCTATTTCTGAAGCATATGCCAGATCACATTACGAGTTTTCTCAGGCAAGGCAGTTTGGCAACATTACAGGATCTAGACTGAGGTATTAACAACACCCGATAACGCTGTCTTCATCTATTTTATACTACTTCCATTCTTTGTCATAGTAAAAGCAAAAAAATACACCAATTTGAACTGGCACCGAAGCAGAAACTCCGAGACAACAGTGGTTTAACGCGTACTCAGCTTACCGACCCACGTTAGCTGTACATGCCGCTATCTCCAGAGTCGGAGCCGACAAGCCTGCCCACTGCTTCCCCGAAGGCCGAATGCCTTGCTGCTTCCTGGCAGCACAACCTCAACATTATTAGCAAGATTTCTCTTCTACCTGCCAACGAGTCTAAGGGAACAGGAGGCTTCCAGAATCAGGATGTTAGCGCTGTTCCACAGGCCTCTGACACTACCCACAGACCAAGCCTCCAAGCGCAGCTAGCCAGCCGCCCAGATCTAGTTCCTAACACGCTCACTTAGCATTTTGGTGGCTACAGACCCAGAGGCACATCAGGGTGAACAGAAGTTGATTTATTTCAGATTTCCAGACCAGCAGCTAGTATGGCCTTCAAGTTCTTTGTACTTCAGAAGAGAGTAAGTTTGAAGACTTGGTGTTGTCACAGACTATGTGGCTGTACATGACACTGATGTGCAAGGGCAGCCCTCTACCAAATATTACCTGGTGAAGGCACTCAGCCCACGAGACTGGCTTTTCCAGTTGCACCAACTACTCTAATAAGAGCTGTTACTGCTCCCTACAAACCTTTTTGCAAATGCCTGGTGGCGATGCACAAAAGAAGAGGGTTTGTATTCAAGGGCTGCTTTGTGATCTCTGAAGCTGGGGACTGCGTTGCCTTCTGCGTCCGCGAACAGTGCCAGAAGTACAGCACGTGCTTTTGGGAACCAGCTAGTGCTTTTGCCAGTTTCAAAGGGAAGAGAATGAGGGCAGAGACTAGCTTTAGTCATGTTTTGGTGGGGCTAGGGCATGACTAAAGCTGGCAGGATTGCGCTGTATGCAGCCTGCAGGCAAAGGGAAAGTTTGCTTTCAGGATTGCTCACTTGTTACCTCCAAGACAGCAAGAAATTCACTTTTGACAAACATTAGTGTTTGTAGCACCGTACACTGAAGCACTTGCAGTGCAGAAGAGCTGCTGCAGTTAACCAAAGCATCTTAAAGGGAATGAAAATCATACTTATTAATCCAGAACGTTATCAGCTTGAATGCTAGCCTAGTGCATTTCACTGGTTTGGAGGCATTTCAGCAGCCCGTCTCCCTGCCTGACCCACCTGCTCACATGGAACATAACACACACATCCCCCCAGCAAAACCCAGGGAAAGAGTGGGCGCTCTCAGCTTCTCACCTCACCTGTAACCGCTGTGCCTGCAAAGTGTTCAAATCAGCTGTCCCCACACTAAGAGCAACCTTCTGCATTTTCCCAAGTCACTATTAACCCAATAGTTTTGTGGTGGTTTTATTTTTTTGGTTTGGTGGGGGTTTTTGTGGGGTTTATTTATTTTTTTACATTTTAAATATTTTTGAGCAGGTGTTCCAGCCTGTCTAAGCACTCTCTCTGACACAGGGATGGAAAAGAGTTCTCTCACCTTGCCAACTTCTTCAGCTCATTGTTAATATCGTGGTTAAATGGCTGGATGTGCTGAGCTCGGACCAGGAAATCCCGGGATTTTTTGTATTCTGTCATGTGGAGACAAGCCTGCCATTGAAAGAAGACAGATGTGTCACGAGGTAAATATAGACTCGCTGCCATTCCTCAGGACTCAAACATGTGCAGCCACAAACATCTCTGAGACGGATCCAGGTAGCTCGGGAATCCCCCACGAAAAGATCTGTGTGGCGGATTTACAGAGCGCCAGGTTTTCCTAAAAGTCAGATGCAGACAAAGCCTGGCCCAGAATTTAGTGGTTCTCCCTGGTTCATTCGAGGGTATTCCTTCATGTGGCTACCAGAGGAATTTATTTTTGCCCACCTGGCCACACCTGAACAGCGCTTTGGCATTTCTTTGGTCAATCTCCAAGGCCTTCTCCCCATATGCCAGAGCTTGGGCAGGATGTTCCAGCTTCAGGTAAGTAAGGGAGAGATTCAGGAGCACCAGCAACTTGGAAGCATTGATCTGATGCTGCTCTTCCTCAGTGGAAGGACTGCGACGGAGGATGGAGAACACCTGAGCAGACAGGGAAAAAGAACTAGTGCACAACAAATCTGTTACGGGAAGTGAGAAATCCATCTCATCACACAGCTACATCCATGTTTCTGTCTACCTAGGGCAGTTAAAAATAGAAATAATCAAAACTCTAAATATACTGCATGGCATTCTCAGCACGACTAGCCAGCTCAGCCATAAGACCAAGGTTTACGAACCTATCAAGGAACTTGTAAGCAGCAGAATGAAAGAAAATTACACCCAGGACTCACATTTTAAGGACAAGGATGGAAGAGAAATCTTACAGGGAGAAGGGCAATTTATTTTTGTTGCAAAAATACCACGAAAAATCAACTCTGAACGGAGGGAAGAAAAATCTCGCAAAACCTCACCACCTCTGAAATAAGGGCAGATGCATTCCAGTTTGGCAATAACTGAGTATTTCCCCACCTGGAGAGGCTGTGGAGTCTCCATCCCTGGAGATGCTCAAAACCTGAACGGACACAGTCCTGTACAACTTCCTGCTGCAGCTGACCTTCCTTCAGCAGGGGGTTGGAGTACACAACGTCCAGAGGTTCCCACCAACCTCAACTACTCTGCAATTCCCAACTGAAAGGCTAAAAATAAAGTTAGAGTGCCCAGTGTGTCCGTGATGTCTGTTTCCAGACCAAAGGGATTCTAGATTCCTTCTCAAAGCATCAATCAGCACGTGGCTGCAATACAAGGCTTTGCTGCACCACAACACCTCTCAGCAAAAGCTAACCTGCGAGGCCCCAGTCCAGCGGTCAGCCAGCAACCTGCTCGGGGCTCCCACAGCCACGGAGGTGTACTCTTCCATCTCACAGGGAGCAAGCCTGAAGGAAAAGGGTTCTGCCTATTTCTGCCAATCCTTCTCCTCCTTCATTTACCACGGCTGCTTACACAAAAGCAGGTGTCTAAGATCTGTTCTTAAATAACAAACTATGCCTGGGAAATATAATGAAGTTATTCGATCTCTAAATTGTACTTGTTACGGTGAGGTAGCACTTAATACACAGCTCTGCACAATGAAAACCACATTTTTTCTGGTGTCATACCCTTTTGTATCTGTCTCTGGCACTCTCGAAGCACCGCTTACGGTAGAGGTAGTTGCCAAACTGTCTCTCCGTGTCTGCCACTTTCAACACCTTTTCTAGTGGAAATGTATCCTGCTGCTCCTGTACAAAGAAATACCTGAATTTCAGCTCAAAGAAAAGAAAACAAGCAGAGAGCTCAGACAGGACAGTCCTGCACAGTCCCCTTCCCTTCACAGAGCAGGAGCCAGGCGTTGCCAAAGCCCCTGCAGCATCCAGCAGGCCACCACCACGTGGCATTTCCCTTGGCCAGGCCAAAACATGTCACTGTTCTCGTGCCGATAACTCCCGGTGAAGAGTGCTACCAGTCAGGTCAGGAAGCTCACCAGGACCAAAGGGACTCCATGGGAGGGGAAAAAAGCAGGAATTTGTTCTTAAATCCTGCCCAGGTCTCTCACCTGCTTAGCACAGAGCAGACAATTAATGCAAATGCTATTGCTGGCATAAAAGGTGAAGCTGATTGAAAGGCTCCATGGCTCCAACGGCTTGGTATCACCCAGGGCGGCACCCTCAGGCCAGCTCTGGGACCAGCCTGACACCCACACAAGACATCAACCAGGAAAACAAAAAAACCCCTGACAATTATAAAAAAGTATTAAAATCGAGGGACAGGTTTTCTCCTGGGTTTGCAAGTTTGAATCTGCTCACAGAGAGAGGCCAGTTAGCCAGAAAGGGCGGGCGACCAGCAAGAAGGGGACCGAGCTCTCTTGCGACAAGTGCGATTTGCTCGCAGGGCTGCGTGTGGAAAAACGGCCAGTGCCGCAGCAGGAGGGAATGAGGGGCCCCCACCACCAACCAAGGCTGCTGCCTGTGCCCCACAACCACAGCCCAAAGCCCTTTACATGAAAAGGGGGAATTAACAATAACACCATAACTCACCAGGGAGGAAAGCGAACAGTGAAGGAGCACTTGGGAGAGCAGCCAAGTAGCAGAGACAAAGGGGGGGCTGGGGGGGGGGCACTCGGAGGCTGCAAACTGAACAGGATTTTTACAGACAGCTCATTACTGTTCCAAAAGAGAACTTCCTGGAAGCTGGTGCCCTCTAGTGAAACCATGAGGTTTCTTGTAAAGCTAAAGAGAAATGGAAGTCATTCCACTGACTCCAGCACAGGGGAGCAAAGGCAGCACCCAGCTTCTCCCTCCGCACAGGAGTGCAAACGGATCCCGGCGTGCAGGGGCAGTGTTAAAGGGCGCGTGTTTGTACCAGGGCAGAGCCAGCAGCCCAGGGTCTGGGTAACCGCACCTGCGATTAAGCTAAACATACGTAATACATGAGCAACAGCAACTGGAAGGAAAAACAAAGGCTTTGCATCCAGATTTAGGTCTCAAACCTTATTAAGGCAACTCACAGGAGTCAACTCAAAGAAGTTGTCAGATTCATCTGTGTCCAGGAAGTCCAGCACCTCCACCTCGAACATGACTGTGGCATTCGGGGGAATGAGAGGAGGACAGCCCTGCCGCCCATAGGCGTAATCTGGCGTGAAGACAAACTTTGCTCCCTCTCCCTTCTTCATCGTCAGCAGGCCAATTACCAGACCCCTCAGTGTAATGTCTGTCGCAACAAGAAATGGAAGGTCATGAGAACTGCAAACCTGGAAACCCCCTCAGACACCAAGCACCGATTTCTCCTAAAGTCTGGAGGAAAAAATCCTTCGTAGCTCACATCTCGGCAACTACACCGGTCAACTGCGCCCTGTTATGGATTACCAAGGCAGTCTGCTGGGGGCCCAAGCACGCAGTAAACAGCCACATCTCCTCTCAGGTGATTTGGAAACACCAAAACAAGCAGCTGCTTCAGGGCAGGCAGCAAGCACCCTCGCTTCCATCAATGACAGGGGCACTGCGGCTCACTCCTGCAGGCGAGTGGGGCAGAGGGCGATCGTTCCAGACTGACCAGCACCCGTGTGAAGCAGGGGGCTTCCGGACTCCATTAACAAGCTTTAAAGGTTTCAAATAACCTAAAGATACTAAACAGTGTTTAAACTGACATGTCTTAACGTGCTGCTCTTTACAACTCTGAGTCCCAGGACAAACTCTTCAGCTCAAACCCACCTTTTCCAAGTTTCATCAGCCCAGGAAACTTGCTGTAGCAGTTTGTGCAGAACGGCTTGTCCCTGTGTTCCAGGTACCCAGAGTACTTCACTGTGCAGCCAAAAGCAAGGTGCAGGGAGGAGACAAAAGCCAGAGTTTGATTTCATGCCCAGTACCAGTACCATCAGTAGCACACCAGGAGCTGGCTTTGCAACACCATCCTTTTACTCTCCTTTTTTCCATCTGCTGTAGAGCAGCAGAGGCAGCACAAACTACCTTGTGTTTTATACCAAAAACCTGGTCACATCCAAGCAGGCAAGTGGTGTTAACTGTGTTTTAACATCACCAGATAAAGCAGCTGCTTCACAGTCCTGATCCCTATCTAATCAAGAGATGTGATTTCGTGTTCTTAAGAACTGGAAACTTCAGCTGTATAAATTAAAACGCCCCAATTATCTGCAGAAATATGTGACAAAGCCTTTCCTAATCAAAGCTGGAGCCCTGGAAAGAGAAACAAAAGGGAAAACGTGCCCCTCCGAGCTCTGCCAGTCTCCTGGGCGCTGTACAGGTAACTTCAGTTCCCACTGTTAGAAAACCTGCTGTAATGGGCTTCCCTTGGCATGGCACCAGGCCCTTGCACTTCAGGAACCACCTTCAGCTTCAAACTTCTTCTCTGTACTGTTAGCACAGGTGGGACCTGGAAATCCTGCTTTTCTCAAGGTTAAGACGCCCTTTGAGTTAATCTGTCAGCCAGAAGAAGTTAAACAGAGTATCCCAAGTACTAAAACACTGATAAGGGAGAGCAGATAGTCTCTGAAACAGAAAGACATACTACTGTATAACATCAGCACTTTTAAATTCTTGTTCTGATCTCACGCTAAAGTCCAAAGCGCTCAGATTTGCCATCCCACGAACACCTCAAAATTAGAGGCTCGGGGTATCTTTTACAACAGGTTCTGTCCGCTCCGTTTCCCCCAGCGCACGCTTCAGGCCCAGCCACGCAGACCAAAGCACGGACCTCGCACTGAGACGGAAGGGACAGAGACGAGCACCAGACACCGACTTCAGACTACACGTCCAAGGATTTTAGGTTTTCTTAGTCCTGCTAACCACAGATTAAATGTAACAATTGCCATTTATACAGAAAGCTACTCAGGAGCTGGTCAGCAGAGACTGCAAGCTCATCCCCATGAAGTAGGGTGCGACGTTACCACAGAGCGCACCGAAACCCGGC